AAATAAACTAATAAATTAATTAAAATAGGAATGAAAATCCAGAGAACTCTGGTGTGACCCACGGGTACAGGTAGAGATGCATGGTTGTTCAAAGCGGGATGGGGACTCTGGAACACTAAAGAGCTCCCGGCTTCCCCGGGCTTCCTCGGAGAAGCTGGAGGTGTCTCCATAGAGTGTTCCTGGGAAATGATGGGGACAGGATCAGATCAGGGGCCTGCCCCGCCCTCCACCTGACGCCTGTCCCCTCCCCTCCCCTCCCTTCTTCCCCCTCCCTTCTTCCCCCTCCCCTCTTCTCCCTCCCCTCCTTCTCCTTCCCTCCTCTCACCTCTTCTCCCCTCCCCTCTTCCCCCTCCCCTCCCCTCTTCCCCCTCCCTTCTTCCCCCTCCCCTCCCTCCCCTCACCTCTTCTTCCCTCCCCTCTTCCCCCTCCCCCCCCCCCCCCTTCTCCCCCCCCCCCCCCCCCCCCTCCTCTCATCCCCCTCCCTTCCCCTCCCATCTCCCCTCTCTTCCCCCTCCCCTCCCCTCTTCCCCTGCCCTGCCCTGCCCTCCGCAGTTCCTGAGCGAGGGCTACGCTGCACACCTGGCCGCGCTGGAGGCCAGCCACCGCTCACGCCCAAAGAAGAACAACTCGCGCATGATCCTGCGCAAGGGCAGCTTCGGGCTACACGCGCAGCCGGAGTTCCTGCGGAAGCGCAACCACCTGCGCAGAACCATGTCGGTGCAGCAGCCCGACCCGCCCGCCGTCAACCCCAAGCCCGAGCGAGCCCAGAGCCAGCCCGAGTCCGACAAGGACCACGAGCGGCCGCTGCCCGCGCTCAGCTGGGCACGTGGGCCCCCCAAGTTCGAGTCGGTGCCCTGAGGAGTGGGCTGTGCTCAGAGCAGGGGTGGGGGGCCCAATCAGGCTGCCTGCAGGGACGGGAGGGGGCTGCCCTCTCCCCGACACAGGCGTTTTCCTGCTTTTTCCCTCCCGTGTCTGTCCAGCAGTGTCCGACCAGAGCGGGGAGGGATCCTGCCCCACCCCGGGGGGGCTCCCTGAGCTGCCACAAGGTGAGATCCGGGGGTCTCGTTGCAGCCGCTGCTGCCTCCCACGTGCCTGCGACTGCAAGCCCAAGTCAGGGTTCATGTTTGTGTCATCCTGGGGGCAGGCTTGCCCGGAGCTGGAGCGTTTGGGCAAACTCGACCACCCTCCTGCGTCCCCAGGCTTCACAGCGAGCTAGGCAGGCCCTCAAGGGGGCAGCCCCAGCCTCGGGACCAAACGCCGCTGGCAGGCACAGCCTCTGGACTGTCTTGTGGAGGCGTGAGTGGCATTTGTGCCCGCCCTCCCTGTGGTCCTGGATCACCATTTTGGGGTTGGCGCTCTTACAGCAAGATGGCCACTTTCTGGGAGTGAGAGCACATCCCCGGTCTCTGTCCACAGCCCTCGGGGGGTGGGGTCTGGTGCTGACGGTCTGTCCTGCAGCTGTCCATTGTCCCCAACCCCCCCCTTGTCCTCAGTGTCCTCACCATTTCCCTGTGGCCCTGGAGGCCAGGGGTTCCTCTTCCCGGAGCCCTGCCTCATGCCCTCCCTTGGGAGGCTGCAGCTTTGGGCTCTGGCTCAGCTGGGCTGGCTGTGAGCCCCTGAGCTGGTTGCTTGCCCTCTCTGGGCCCCGTCTTCCTGCTGTTGTTGGAGAAGTCCCCCTAGCTGAGATTGGTGTGAGTCTTTGACCCGCAAGATGTCCTGTAGTTTGGCCCATTGAGGCTTTTCAGGCCTAGGTCCCTCCGCGTGTCCTGTGACCCATACCTTTCACACAGCCTGCGAGAGGGCGTCTGGGTGGGCTCGAAAGGAGGGGCTCTTAAAGGAGCCTCTCTGGGTGGGCTGGGAAGGGACCCCTACTCCACGGAGAGGCGCAACTGGTTTGCCTTGCACTGATGCTCACACCGGGTGTCCCAGGGACAACCCACCTCCATCTCCTGCCAAAAGGTTAGTGATCTGGCTCCCCATAACCCCAGCTCTGCCAGGACCCTTCTATCTTTTTTGGCTCCTGGAGGCATAGAGCTGAGATTCCAGGGTTCTAGGGGTTCCTGGAAGTTTGGCTCCAACTGTTGTATTCTCTTCCCTATCCCCTGCTGCTCAGTTTGTGCCCATAACCTCCTCCTCGGTAGTCCCCTGAGGTTGGCAGGACTTGGCCCTTCTGGGGCCCCTAAAGCCTGCTCAGGCCCTCCTGCTGCTGAACCTTGGCCTGGGCACTGGTTTCCTGCATCCTGGAAAACCCCGACTCCCTGGCCCAGGCCCACACCTGCTGTGTGGGGCTGCCCAGGTGGCCGCTGACCCCCCATGGGCTGCCACTGAGGCCGGTCCCAGCAATTTCAGCCAGGCTGCCCCAGGGCCCAGACGTGTGTATACACAGCAGGCACCTGTGTCAGCTCAGTGTCGCTTCTGCTCAATGTCTACCTCTCGCGGCTCCCATGCAGCCCATGACGCTGCTGACGGGGGCGGCTGGCACCACCATTGTGAATTGCCTGGCAAATTGGGTGCCCTCCTGGGGCTGGAGGGGTCTGGGCTCCTAGCGTCCATCCCTGCTCTCTCCCCTAGAAATGTGTCTTCAGTCTGCCAGCTCTTCTGCTCTACTTCCAGTGCCGCATCCTGCACTCAAGCCCAGGGCTGCTGGCGGGTCTGTGGGGAGGAGTGCAGATCAGCCTCAGCCTCAGCCTCAGCCTCAGCCTCAGCCTCCTCTATGATCCTGTCTCCTGGCGGTTCACAGGTGCCCATCCCCCCGTTAACATTTCACAGTTCCTGGCTTTCCAAAGGCACCAGCTCATATGGCATAACCACCTCAACCCTAATCCTTCCCAAAAATATCCTGATTTAAACTTGGGCAGATTTAGTCTGATTCTTGAAAACTCTACCATTTCCTTTTTGCAGAAGGCACCGATTAAACTGAAATGATAAAATAATTAGTATGAGGTACTTTGCTCCCAGTTAGATTCCCTCTTCCCTGAGAACCCCAGGCTAGGCGAGAGAGGGAGAGAGAAAGAGTGAGAGAGAGAAAGCGAGAAAGGAAGGCAGAGAGGGAGAGGAAGACAGAGAGAAAGAGAAAGGAAGACAGAGGAAGACAGAGAAAGAGAAAGGAAGACAGAGAGAGAGAGAGGAAGACAGAGAGAGTACATGAGCCAGGATCCCTGGGGAATTTGAAGTCAGTGTGACCAGGATTCTGTGGCTCTGGGGTCAGAGCTGGGACACAGGACCCAGCAGGACGGCCACCTGTTTTGGCCCTTTGTTTTGGAAGCAGCTCTGGGTCCAGGCAGCAAGCAGGTAGGAAGATCGGGGCTTTGGCTGACGATGCACACATGAGATGCTGATGGTGTACAGTGAGAGGTTGTGAACACAACAACTGGAGCTGAAGTTGGTGTGTGTGAATGTGTGTAGATGCGGTTCTGTTTAGTGGCGAGACAACGTATGTTTCAGTACTGCTTTCACAGCAACTGTGTAATGCATATGCACTTTCTATACTAGTGGTTTCTTCAGTTTTGTCCGTCCAGTTAAGTTGGAGAAAGAACCAAGTTGTGTTGTTCTCGGGAGCGGGTGCCGCTGCCTCTCCTTGAGTAGTTCTGTGACCCCCCCCAGTCCAGCTGTTTTCTAGAGAGTTCTTCTAGCTTCTGGTATGCCTGCCCTCTAGCAGTTGGAGACAGATCTCCCCGCCTGACCAAAGCTCCTTGTTTCTTGCGTGGCATGTTTGTTCTTCCCGATCCGGCGGCTGTCGTGACCGAGGGCCTGCCTGCCACCCTCCTGTATCATTTGCCCTGTTAGGGTTCAGGGTGCGTCCTTAGCCCAGGACCTGCTCTTCCAGCGTCGTGGGTTTTTTTCCAAAAGAGTTCAACGGCTCCCTTGAGCTCCGTAAAATATTTCTTTTTTAAAAAAACAGACTCCTTTCACGCACTGGGATGAATGGTCCTCTTGTCTGGGTGCTGGGTTACAGCAAACAAATGTGTTTGAATCCCAGTATTCCAGAGTTTTCCGGCGGTGGGCTCTCTGGAAGAGACGAGGCTGGAGTTCACGGTTTTTAAACTGTATTTTTACCCCTTTGGGACCCATTCCTGTGTCCTGGAGTCTTTCATGAGGCACGTGGGTCCCCTGCATCCTCACACTCCCCCCCAGCCCAGGTGCAGCCCCGGGAGGGGTGCCCTGACCCCGCCTTAATCAACCACCTTTCCCACCGAATCCCATCTGGGGGGGGTTTGGGTGCCAAGTGCCCTGGAAACCTATTGTAACATTCCCTCCTTCCTTTCCTTCCGGGCTTGGGGGAACCTTCTTAAAAATCATAGTTAGGGTGAAGTCCAAGCACTGAGGCCTGATCCGGGCTCTGCTCTCCTTGTTGAGAAACTAACAGGCAGTTGGGAGGAAAATCCGAATTTGACTCCACCCTCTTTAGGGCAAAGGAGAAGCAGGTGACCCAAGGAGGGGCAGGCCAGAGGAGGGTGACTCCTGCACAGGGACCCCCGCCCTCGGACCCCGCTGTCCTTTTCTATTTGTTTACTTGGCGGTGGCAGCCAGTCTGACCCTGTCTGTGGTCTGACTGTTCCTAAGTGTGTAACTTTCAGTATTATCTGTGACAGACGGTTCTGTGGTGAAAAAGGTTTATTATATTCCTTATGGCTGCCTTGTACAAAATCCGTTAGAAACGCTAATGTAAGATATCAGATTTCTAACAAGACAAAAACAGCATTATGGAGTTAAAAGATTTTTACAACTGGTCTTGATTTTGATGTGAGCTGGTTTTTAGCTCTCAAATGTTGTCACTTAAATAAAAACCTTATTTGCCTTTACGGTGTGTTTGCGTCCGAACTAAGTTGAGAAGCCTTTCCCTTTATACATGTTCTCCCTGGGATGGGTTTTGGGGGCAGACTGGCTCAGAGCAGAGGTGGATGAGGGCCACAAATGAGACCACAAATGACAGATCTATGGCCCAGAGTGGTGTGGGAGGGTGGGGAAGGGTGGAGGTGGCCGGTGAAACGGAACAGATGTCAAATGCAAACAGTCTTTATTATGAGAAAGCAGTGTTATCTAGGAAAGTCACACGCTGGTTTCTTATACAACGACAAAGCAGGTTTTCTTAAATAATTTACAAAGGGCAGAAATTGCTTTTGAACAGGGCTACCCCTCCCGGCACACCCACAGTACTCCGCCTTGAGCGTATAAATAGAAAGCCGTGAGCCCAGGGTCGGAAGCCTGGAAATATCTCCTATGCCTTCCTCCGAGTCCCTGGTAGGGAAAGCAGGGATGACAATGGGGCCCCCAAGAGCCTTGACACCAGAAACACGGTGGGTGAGTGACTCTGCGGATGACTCCCCAAAAACCAGACACCTGGGTACACAGCTAAGAGCTCTCAAACCTCTGAGGCTAGCACTTCACGTTATAGATGAGGCAAATAGAAGGCTCAAGGTCAAGTGTACGATGAGTTTCTAAGCTCAAGAGTCCCCTGGGAAAGCAGAAGGAACAATTCTCCCCCTCTGCAAGGTCTCCCCAAGACACTCTCAGGCTGTGGCAGGCAGTCACTGATGGGTCCAGATGTGGCCGGAGCAGGGGGCTCTGGGCCCCTTGTTAGGTGCTTGTTAGCAGTGGCCCGGGGGTACTGACAACTCCTGGGGGTTTCCTCCGGGAAGCTCACGGGGAAGCATAGACATCCTTGAGTACGAAGACTTGGCGGTCAGACAGGGCTTCTTTCCTGCAAGACAGCTGCCTTTGTCACTGTGCTTAAGGTCGGAGAAGTAGGGATACCTTTCCCTGCTCACTGCGGGGTGGGGGCTGCTGGAAGGTGGCTGTAGCTACTCGGGGCCCCCAGCATGCTGTTAATGATGGAGTCCGTGAGGTTAGCAGCTCTGGCTCCAAGCAGCAGGCGGGTCCTACCTACTCTGCTGTGCCCATCAGCTCTGTGGGTTTTTCTTTAACTTGCTCATGCATGAGGTGGAGGAGGAGGAGGACAGTGAGAAAGACGCTTGGGAGGTGGGCATTACCTGCAGGCACTTCCTCAGTCATGAATGAGAGAGACGATGTCACCACTAGAGAGAAGGGGAGGGATTGATGCCACTGGGTGTGGTGGGCTCTGAGAGGGCCCCTCTCAGCCTGAGTTAGACAAGATCAGACCCGGAAACGTGGTAGGAATATGGCCCCCCAGCACATAGAGCTGGCAGGGCTCAGCCTCAGAGCCCATCATGGCCATTATACAAGTGGAATGGAGAAATAGCCCCAAGTTAGGGGAGATCCACAACCGAGGCCCTGCCCCTAGGATGGGGCCGTGAGCAGAGAGACCAGGAGCTCCATAGCAGTCAGGTTGCTTTTCCCTATTCCACAGGCAGGCAGGACACAGAGGAGCCACGGACAGTTCTGGAGGAAGGGCAGGCTTTTCGGGAACCAGCCACGTGTGAGGTTCCAAATGATGGACAAACGTGGGGGCCCAAGGCCCAGAAGACCACACACATTCAGGCTGCATCCTTTACCATCAACCCAGTCCAGGTTTTTGTCCCTTCTCATGTTTGAGATGAGGGAGACTGAGGCCCAGAGAGGGGCAAAGACTGGCCAGGGTCACACAGCAGGTCAGCGCAGAACCAGCGCCTGCCTACAAAGATGGCCGGAGGGGCCCTGCCGGCCACTTCACTTTGAAGTATGGAATGCCAACTCACCTCTCTTCCGCCATAATGGCTTCCTCTAGCTCTTGGGACAGCTTCTGGAGATGCTGAATTCCCGCCCCCACAGGCTCTGGGTCACTGTCAGACTCGCTGAATGAAAGAAAAAGCCACACCAGTGACTAGCTGGAAACTCCTGGCAGGAGCCCCTTGCAACCCAGTACCGGGGTCTGGTCTGTGGGCCCAGATGACCCTGGTGGGCTGGGCTTCACTCCAGACCCTCACTCCAGGAAGTGACCTCAGAGCGACAAACAGAGAGAAGATCAAGATCCACAAGGCAAAGGTCATGGGCAAGTGATTTTGCAGCGTCCCCACTTGGAAACTGAGCCTCAGCCCTCCAGGTGGCTTTACAACTTGCTTGTGGGCTCACTAGGAGGCTTGGGTGAGTGGGATTGCGTCAGAGCTAAGCTCAGCTCTTTCTTTACAGAGAAACGAAGGTCCTGAAGGATTTTCTCAGGTCCTCTGCTAGCTCTAGGGGCAGAACCAGGTCAGAACACAGATGTGGAGAGTATTTTTGAAGTGTACACAAGCCTTATTTTAGGTTCCAGGTTTGCAAAGAGCCACCTGGTCACTTACATGCATCCTGGTGACCACCTGCCACGACAGAGGGGCAGCTGCTAGGCAGCCTTCCCTGAGAGCCCCGAGATGGGAATAGGAAGCTGCGAGGGACTGTGGACTGGGATGAGCTTCACTCTCTCCCCTGAGCCAGGCCACTTGCTGGGCCTGTCTGAGAACTAGAAGATTCTGCAGGGTAGGCCAGCTTGATCAGTGGGGCAGAACATCCAGATGATCTGGACCCCAGCCTTTACTCCTCTGTTTCCTACGGGATGGCCCTCGTGCTAATCACCAAAAGCCTCTGGACCTCCGTTTCATTACCTGTCAAATGGGACAAACAGAGCCTACCTTAATTACAGCTCAAGGTTCCTATGAGACTAAAGAAAGATGCTAGCCCTCAAAGAAATTTGGGGAAAAATTCAACAGCCCAAAGCTACTATACAGCCTTAACTAACACACTCCATTTCCCCCTAGAACTCAGCCGGAAAGTTGAAATACAATCCTTAGGAATCTAGTTGTTGTTTTGTTTTCTCCTTTTTTTTTTTTTTGAGACAGAGTCTCGCTGTGTCACCCAGGATGGAGTGCAGTGGCGCGATCTCGGCTCACTGCAACCTCCACCCCCTGAGTTCAAGCAATTCTGCTGCCTCAGCCTCCCAAGGAGCTGGGATTAGAGGCATGTACCACCACGCCCGGCCAATTTTGTATTTTAGTAGAGATGAGGTTTCACCATGTTGGCCAGGCTGGTCTCCAACTCCTGACCTCAGGGGATCCACCCGTCTCAGCCTCCCGCAGTGCTGGGATTACAGGTGTGAGCCACCGTGCCCGGCCAGTTTTCTCATTTTCTAATGAACAAATACACACACTGGATATCTGCTAAAGCAGGACACACATTTAACAGTAAGAATAATTATAACATGATATGACGCTGCTCAGGGTACCCCTGGCTCCAGGTAGCCACAGGAGGTGCCAAGAAGCCTGTGGGGACCAGTTGGTGTCTGGGAGGTCAGAGAGCAGGGACTGTGCCCAGGTTAAAAGGTCACCAGTGCCGGGGTGAGGCACTATCCCACTTGCCTGGGAGAGCAGAGGGGCTCTGTTGAGGAGTAGGGGCTCTGGAAGGCAGCCTCCCGCCTTGACCGCCGTGATGGGTGGGCACGTGAGCCCATCCGGGCAGAGAGGTGGTGATGCTCCGTCTCCCGGGGCTCTGTGGCTGAGTGGGCAGGGGCGGCTCCAGACAGCCGAGTGCTCTTCTGGCTCAGGCTGTGAGCTGGGGATCCACTGCCCTTCTGCGCTCCTCTCTTCCGCCTCCTGGCCTTCACCTGCGTCTCCACCAGCCACTTGGTGCCACTTTGGCAGGACTCCTGGATTCTCTGAAACAGGCAAATGGAAAGGTTAGCACAGACACAACCAAAAGTGAGGCCGGGCACCGTGGCTCACGCCTATAATCCCAGTACTTTGGGAGGCCGAGGCAGGTGGATCACCTGACGTAAGGAGTTCGAGACCAGCCTGGCCAACATGCTGAAACCCCATCTCTACTAAAAATACAAAAACAAACAAAAAAAAAGCCGGCGCAGGGGCGGGCGCCTGTAGTCCCAGCTACTTGGGTGACTGAGGCATGAGAATCGCTTGAACCCGGGAGGTGGAGGTTGCAGTGAGCCGAGATCGTGCCACTGCACTCCAGCCTGGGTGACTGAGTGAGACACTGTCTCAAAAACAAACAAGCAACAACAAAAAGCCCAAGGGTGAACTACCCTGGTCTCCAGACCCTACCAGCGATCCCTAGACCCACCAAGTGTCCTGTAAATACAGGCTAGTTTAGTCTCCAGGGTGAAGGATGTGAATGACTCCTTGTGGAATGAGTCCACGGCAGGGACCCAGCTCAGAGCTCCTGGACATGACAGCAGCAGTCAGCAACAGGAGGACCCCCCTGGTGCCTGGAGCCTGTTTGTCTAAGTCCAAACTCTCTTTCCAGACACAGATTGACCCCAGGACTGAAGGAGAGGGTCCAGAGTAGAGCAGGCTCCCCTGCCCAGCACCCCCTGCACACCAGGAGAGCACCTGTCTTCCTGCCTCAGGTCTCACTCACTCTATCCACCCTCCACAGTGGTCCATAGTGATCCTTCTAAAGGGCAGTTCTGACTGTGACACTCAACTGCTCAAAACCCTTCTATGGCTTCTTGTTGCACATAGGACCAAGCCCCAACTCCTGGGCCTTTCACACCAGCTAGGTGACGGCTGTGAAGGCTCTTCTTCATCAGCTCCACTGTCTTTGCCTTGGCAAGCCAGAGCCCAGGGGTTGGAGCCCAGCCCAGGTTAGATCTGATGAGTTACGTGACCTTGGACAAATTCATTTCATTTCTCTGATCCCTGAGGGTGGCAAAAACAATCAAAAAGTTCTTCCAAATAAGGACTAACATTTGGCTCAGAGAACTCTCTGCAGAGGGTCCAGAAAGAGCCACCCTCTTTCTGGAGAATTCTCTCGTCTTCAGGATTCCCCATGAGACACCGAGGAGAAACCTCTGCAGCCCCCAGTCCTCTCTCTGGAGGTCCGTTCATCCTAATGGCTTCTGTCCTTTCTAAGTGACACGTCTACACCTCCAGCTCTGGGTTTAAAGATGCATCGGTTGAAGGGCCCATAGACGCTTACATCCAATATAAGGACATCTTCCTGCCAGCACCTCTCATTTGACAGCAGATCCCCTCTAACTGACCTTCTCAGCAGCTCCGGAAGTTTATCCCCTGCAAGTCCAGATCCTTAGTCTCCTTCCGGAGCACCTCTGCTTCTATTCCCTTCTCCATCACGTAGATAAAGGACAAATTCTAATATGCTAATGAGACCAGACTTTCCACTGTTTAGAATCCTCCAGACTCCTGATCATTCCTAGGAGAGTCTAAGCTCCTTCATGTCCTTTCTCCCGGCTCTACCTTGCTCTCTGTCCTCCGCTCATACCCAGACTGCAATTCTGGCTCTCCTCAGGGGTACACGGCTGAGTTGGCAGTACACCTTGCTTTCCCTCAGCTCTAGGCTTGGACCTGAGGGGCTCTGGATTTGCACTATTTCTCCTACCCTAAATACCCCTTGACCTTTGCTTCCCCGGGTGAACTCTGGAATCATCTCCTCTAGGAAGCCTTCACCGGCTAAGTTTGTGTTTGGCGAGCCCTCGCTATTGGCCACTTGCTTGCAATTTCCTATCACGTACAGCTCTTATCACCTGGTATTGTGAGCATCTGTTTCCTCCAAGACATGTTTTCATTAACTCACCCAACTATTTGTTGAGCACCTGTATGTGCCGGGAACTATTTGGGGTGCGGGGGAAACAGCAGTGAACGAACCAAAATCCCTGTCTTCTTGGAGTCTATATTCTTCAGGCTCTTTGAGGGCAGGAACTGTCTGGCACCAAGGAAACACTCCATAAAAAAGATGGTTAGTATTGTCAGTATTACCTGGGACATGGCACCCAAAGCGCTCTTAGCTGAGCGAGCTGCAGCCTGGAGGCCCTGCTGACCTGGCTCTGGGGTTTCCAGGCGTTTCCAGGAGGAGCCTGCGCAGAGGTTGAGGTTGACGGCTCTCAGGGGCAGCCTCCTTTGGAACTGCCTGCACAGAGACCCCAGGGCCCCTGCAGAGGTCTCCTGATGGCTGGCCACAGGCTGCAGCTCCTTGCTGTCCTCCAGCTGCTCCTGGTGCCGGAGATCTCTCCGGCGCACAGAGGTCCCCATGCTCTGCCACCGAGAAGCCATTTGTCTGGCCAAGAGTCTTCTCTGTCCACTAGACCCTGGGGAGGAGGGCAAAAAAGCAGGTCAGCAAGGCATTCCCCATCCCCATTTCCAGGCCCCACAGAGACCCTGGACACAGGGGAAGAGATGGGATGCAGCGGGGTGGCGAGGGCGAGCGGGGAGCGGACGAGATGGCAAGTGTGGGTGGAGGAAGGAGGATGCTTCCTGGAAGAGAGGTCTCGGGTCAGCAGCATTTCTGGCGCCCCCACGCAGATCCCGGCCTTCCCACCAGAAGCCCCGATTTTGATCTGACGCTTGTAGTACCCAGACGCCTCCACAGGCCGTGCGTGTCCGAACCTGATGCCCTCCCCTCTGAACAAAAAAAATTGTTTTGAGCCGAGATCGCGCCATTGCACCCAGCCTGGGGAACAAGAACGAAATTTGTTGTGCCCCGCCCGCACTCACCCGACAGCACCAACGCGGATCACACCCCGAGCACAGCTGCTCCTTGCCCACCACAGCCGGTTTGAAACTCTGCGCGGCTCCGCCCCAGGCCCCGTCCTCACAGCTGATTGGTTCTGTCCCCGCCCCCGTCCCCGCCCCAGGGATCCGATTGGCTTTCTCTGTCGCGGCTGTAAATGCTGCGCTCGGATTGGCCCGGCCGTCCCCATTCATCTCTCCGGCCCCCTCCCGGCCGCCAGCCTCGTGGCTCCGGGCTTTGTATTAGGCGTCCCGCCCGGGCCACCGCCCTTGCCCGCCCAGCCCCCGCGCATCGCACGCCGGGTCCCCTCCCTGGAGCGCGCACAGGGTTGAGGCTGCTCTGATCCATGGGGTGGAGGCGGAGGTCCTGGGATCTAGGCCTCCTGGCTCAGGCCCCAGGCCCCGCAGTGGGCAGGGACCCTGTCCATCCTGCCAAGGGGTCTGGCTTTTCCTTCTTGCTCAGTGATTTTCTCCGAAGGAGCCAGGGGCTGGCAGTGCGGAGCCCTGGGTTCCCAGAGACGTTTTCTTTCAAATTTCCCTCCTGACCCTCCCTTCCTGTGACAAGACACTGTCCCTCTCTGAGTTCCCCATACTCGCCATCCATGCTCCGCCCCCCCACCAGAAGATGCGTCCTGGAAGCGGGGATAGACCAGAGTACCCGTCTGCCCTCCTCCCGCCTACACTGGCTCCCCGTCCCCGCCTTGCCCCACGCATCCCTCCCTCTCTCAGCGGAATGCCTGCCTCTCCTCTCCTTAGCATCCAAACCCAATCAGCCATTATAGAAGTTCATCCTTCTCCTTTCGGTGACCTCAGAGCTGTGCTGCCCAGTCCCCCGGCTGGTTTCTTTGTTACCTCTCCCGCACAAGAGCCTGAGATGATGACTTCTTGAAAGTCTGTCTTCAGCCCTCTTCGTTTCTTTGGCCTCAATGATTTCCATCGAAACGATGATGATAATGATTAACGTGTATATGGCCCTTAGTATGCACAGGTACTGGTGTTGCAGTGTATTAACTGATTTGACCCTCTGCTATGGTTTGAATGTGTCCCTCAAATTTCACATGTTGGAAATGTAATGCCCAAATTCGTATATTGGTGGCATTTGTTTGTTTGTTTTTGAGACAGAATTTCACTCTTGTTGCCCAGGTTGGAGTGCAGCCTGGCGATCTCGGCTCACTGCAACCTCCGCCTCCCGGGTTCAAGCGATTCTCCTACCTCAGACTCCCGAGTAGCTGGGATTACAGGCGCCCGCCACCACGCCCAGCTAATTTTTTGTATTTTTAGTAGAGATGGGGTTTCACTATGTTGGCCAGACTGGTCTCGAACTCCTGACCTTAGGCAATCCACCAGCCTCAGCTTTCCAAAGTGCTGGGATTACAGGCAAGAGCCACCACGCCTGGCTATTAGTGGCATTTTTTTTAGACATATAAATTGTTATTTATTCAAATTATAGAATATTATACAATATTGAAAAATAAGTGAATTGTAACCAGATGGTGTAACTTAAGTGAATGTCAGAAATATAATGGTAGATTTAAAAAAAAGCAGTATGCAGACAAACATAAAGTATGACAACCATATAAGTTCAAACACAAAAAAAACTAAACAATATGGTTTAGGAATATGCACACACATTTGTGGACAAAGCTATTATGGAAAGCAAAGGAACTGTAAACACCAAAATAAAATAGGTAGTCATTTTTTGGAAGGGTGGCAGGAGAAGAGGATGTAATGAGGAAAGGGCTCACAGGACTTCAAAGGTAATGTTCCATTTTGTAGGCTGGGTGGTGGCCACGTGAATGTTTACTTTCCTCTTTATTATTTTTTTCGTTTTAGACAGGATCTTGCTCTGTTGTCCAGGCTGAGATGCAGTGGTACAATCATGGCTCACTGCAGTCTCAACCTCCTGGGCTCAAGCAGTCCTCCTGCCTTGACCTCCCAGAGTTCTGGGATTACAAGCGTGAGCCACCTTGCCTAGCCTTTATTATTCTTTAAACCATATATGTATGTAATTTTATATGTATCAGTTTATATTTGTGTGTGTATACACATACCTGTACATATATTATTTTGTAAGTATGAGCTACTTTGTAATTTTTTAAAAAAAGTTTTTAAAAATTGACAAGTAATAATTTAACATTTATGGGGCACACAGTGATGTTTTGATATATATAATGTAAAGTGATCAGCTCTGGGTAATTGGCATATTCATCATCTCAAATATTATCATTTCTCTGTGTTGGGAACAGTCAATATCTTCCTTCTAGTTATTTGAAACTGTATATTATTGTTCACTCTAGTCATCCCACAGTGCTATAGAGTACTAAGCTTATTACTCCTATTTAGCTGTAACTTTGTGTCTTTTAACAAATCTCTCCTATTCCTTCCTTCCACCTACCATTCCCAGCATCCAGTATTTTGATGAGGTGAGGCCTTTGGTAGGTAATTAGCATTAGATAAAATCAAACAGGGTAGGCCCCATAATGGTACTGGTGGCTAAAAAAGAAGGGGAAGAGAGACCTGAACTGACAGGCACGATTTTGCCCTCTCATCATGCAATGCCTTCTGCCATGTTACCACACAGCAAGAAGGCCCTTACCAGATGCCAACCAGATGCCAGTGCTATGCTCTGGCATAGCACTTCCCATCCTCCAGACCATGAGCTAAATAAATGTCTTTTCTTTATAAATTATGCAGTCTGTGGTATTCAGATATAGCAGCAGAAAATGGACTGACACCTTCATTGTACCTACACTTGATGAGGAAACTGAGAATAGAGAATTTGGTTGGGCCCAAATTTCACTCAGTCTACACCAGGGCCAAGGATTCAAACTTCAAGGTTCAAGTTTGAAGTTTGAACCCACTATATTCATTTTACAAGAGTCACTAATGGGGTATGGGTTGTGGTTTGCAAAATATTGCTCTAGTTTGCCTGTCCTTCATTTTTTCGTGGATACAGGGTTTCATCACATTGGCCAGGCTGGTCTCGAACCCTGGAGTTCCTCCAGTCATCAGAGCCGTATCAAAACTACAAAGGAAAATAAAAGTGTTTATCATAAAAGTCTAAGGAGAGAGGGAGAGCACACTATCACTTGCAGGTGGCAAGTGTCTGCTTCTGGGATGCTGGCAATGCTCGCCCTTGACCTAGGTGATGCTGTTTATCAACCTAGTGAAGTTGTTTATCAACAGTCAGAAATGCTTGTTTTCAAACCTGTTTATAACAGTTGCATTTGTTACTGTAACTAAGGAATTTAATTGATGTCTTTTACCAATGAAATCCAAGGGGGAAAAGAAAGGGTTGTTGTTTCTATGAAAACTAAGTTGAAAGTATGGGAAAGAGTCCATGAAGGGGAAATACTTAGAAACAAGCAAAGTCTCTCAAACTGGAGTGTCTTATCACAATTTGCCTCCCCAGTGCCTGCCATGTCACAGGCATCCGTAATAATAGTTTATATTTTTTGAGCCCTCACCATGTGTCAGACGCTCTGCTAAGTGCATTTACTTTCTTTATTCTTTCTTAATCCTCAAGCAATTCTATGAAGTAGGTACTATTTTTATTTCCATTAGAGATGACAAAAGTGAGATGCAGACAGGTGAAATATCTGGTCCAAGATCGTGTGGAATGTCGGAACTGGAGCTTAAATCCAGTGACTGACTTCAAAGCCTGAATTCTTACCCTCAGATTACACAGCTTTGTTAAGTATCAGGGGTGAAACAATGAATGCATGCATGCATAAAGAGGCCCTCCCTGCTTGGAGCTTTCCATCCTCTTCCCTCACTCAGAATGGTAACTGGCAGGTCAGGTTAATGAAGAACAGTCTCCATGGCAACAAGTAAAGGAGGAAGAAACATTTTCTTCTGAATGAGAAGCCTTTCCCTTCTGCCTTGCATGGAGTGGTGGCTGGAGGGAGGGAAGGAGGCTGTGCTCAGGAGAAACAGGCTCCTAGTCCGGAGGTCAGTACAGGGGCTTCTGTTCTTGGTAAGGAGGAGAAACCAGTCACGTGTTCCTAGTGGAGGCTTTTGGAGGGGGAGGGAATCCCAGCATCACCCTTGCCTCTGTTGGGGAGGGGGATAAAGGAGAAGCTCCAGCCCTGCTATCCAGGGGCTCTTTGTCCAAGAGCAAACATTCCACTAGTTTCCTTGACCTCCTGAAACTGTCAATCTGATGGAAGACATAGACATTAAACACATAATTGTAAACAATTACAATTGGGCAAAGTAGCATGAATGTGCAGTGCTAGGGAGAAGTGACAGGGGGTACAAGGGGGATGGGGAGATTGACTGGAGCTGGAGGTCAGGGTAGTCTTCCCTGAATGTGTGGTGTTTGAAGTGAGGAGCTAGTGGGCCAATGGTTGGGAGTCTGGAGCATTGCCAAGTGTTAGGACTGGGGAAAGCCTGGGCAAAAAGGGTAGAGCTGAGATCAGGAGCTGAGGGTAGGGGATGGGGTGGCAAGAGACAGGGTCTGTAGGTCAGAGAAGGAGCTTAAAATTTGTCCTGAAGGTGGTGGCAACTCTTTGCTGAATGTTAAGAGGGCAGTAGGTTATTAGAGCGGCATTTTAATGAAGTCCATGACGAGACTGGTTTGGGAGCGGCTATAGTTTTAATGTGTCCCCCAAATTTCATTTGTTGGAAACTGAATCCTCAAATTCATATGTTGATGATATTTATGGGTGGGGCCTTTGGAGGGTAATTAGGATTAGATAACATCATCAGGGTAGGACCCTGTGATAGGATTGGAGGCTTTACAAGAAGAGGAACGGAGACCTGAGCTGATGTGCATGCTCTTGTCCTCTTACCATGTGATGCCTTCCACCATGTTATGATGTAGCAAGAAGGCCCTCACAAGATGCCAACACCATGCTCTTGGATTTCCCAGCCTCCACAACTATGAGCTAAACAAATGTCTTTTAAAAAAAAAAAATAATAAATTATGCATTCCATGGTGTTCAGTTACAATCACAGAGAATGAACTAAGACAGCAGGCAAAGGGTTTCTGGGGCATCAGTCTGTAGCCTGTGGCCCAAGCCCAGGCACAGACCAGGAACGATCATCATTCTTCTCAGCAGGGAAACC